CAACGATTAACGCACAGTTATAATTCTCTCAAACTCGAGTATGTTGTAGCCCTTCACTGTGGCTATCTTTCTCAATTTGAATAGTATCAAAATATGGAGTATAACTCGAGTTATGAACTTCGGCGCACTAGGGGGTATGCTGCCATAGAAAACGTAACTCAATCACAATTATCTCACAAGTTCACACAAGAAAGTTAGAGTAGCAATAGAACCAGGTAGGAGGGGATGAGGAGGACGAGAGGGAAGGTCCCAAGGGAGTCCCCAACCAAGGAAACCCCATTCCACACAATTCCCCTCTCTATAGGCACCCCAACTTTGACATTTGTCACTTTCCCAACTCATGCCATCCACCTCACCCAACTTGGCCACACTTGCCAACCTGGTTTGGCTTCTCCCAACCACTTGGCATCATCTACAGTGATGGTGACGAATTTCCCAACCCCCAAAAGTCTGTACCCCATATTGAGTCAACCCGCAAATTCCCATAGTCGCCGCATCTCAATCAAAACTTCGAACGATCATATCTTTCTCGTTCTTGCTTCGATCGCAGCGATTCTCGGTTCGTCGGGAAGCTCTTGAGCAGAGGAGTCACTTCAGATATCTGCTCAAGACAAATAACATTCACACACACTCAGAAAATCTAAACAACACCAAACACAAATTCTTGCACACGCTCACACCACGCATGCAACACACGAACATATGATGGGAGGCAGACAGACGTGAATGCAAATGATAGCATCACATAACAGGAAGGACATATTTTGCCATCGTAACTCTTTGGCCAACAGATGACGGTCGCCGGTCGCAAGGCCGGTTGCAACAACCTGGCCGTCTCTACATCGTTTAGGGCTTTAACTTGATTGATTGTGTTATTGTCATCTTAAAGCCGATGTTGTTGTGTTCTTCTATACCATTGCTCTTTGTGTTTTATAGTCGTTTCTTACCAAGTGTAGTTGATCTGCACACGTGGCCATGGCAACCGTTCTTGTCAGTAATCCACGACTGCAGGAGCTAATAATCGACGAATAGCAAACTATCTCGCGGTGGTTTTTTGGCGGGTGAATCATCCAACCCAGGGTTGGATGACCAGATCTGCACAAGGGCTTGTGTGTGGTGGATGGGTATGAATGGTTGTTTTCGTGCTCATTTGCTCCTTTTCATTTGCATTTCATGGTCCGCAAGCTCTTTGAGATCTTTTCATCCAGTACCTGTTACGCATCCGCGTAGTCTTGTAAGCCTGCTGGACCCACCGGCAGAACACTTGCGTCCTCGACGTAGTGACGTAGTGTCGTATAGATTGCGTTTTTTTTTTTTTTTTTTTTTTTGGGTCAGCCCGGTTTAGGATCTCTTTAGTCGCGCATATTCGGTCGCTTGTGTAGGCGCATATGTATGTGGTAGAGCATATGATCGGTAGAACTGTAGGTTTTCGACCTATACATTTGTCGTATGTCGCCCGCTTCTGTAGCCGCAGAGCTTAGTCGTGGAGATTTTTCTCGGTAGAAGTATTCGCTCTCGATCCATACTATCGTCGAACTTAGGACGTTCATGTACAAGCATAAGGTTGTCGTAGAGAACTCGCTCGGTAGAATATTTGGAACTTGTTTCCGGTGATTCGTTGTAGGGAATTATAGCGGTAGAACAAAGGGGTGCCGAGCTCTACAGTCCGTGACATTCAGCCGGTTCTCTATATGCAAGTTGTAGGCGCAGATAGATCTACAGGTTGAAGTGTCGGCATTCGTTGACCAATATTTCTTCGTCTGAAGCACAGACGCTCTTAAGGCTTCTGCGCTTAGCCCACTATGCATTCTGCCTAATTTCTCTGCATACCTGCGAATCCTTTCCACCTACTGTTTCTGACACCTCCCAATTCTTTCGTCTAGTCCCGGTGTTTTGCATATAAAATAGGCATCTGCTAATGGCCGACGCAATGGTCCAGCCTCGCCCAATGTCTGCCCAGGACGCACAGGATGAAGAAGAATACCTGGAGGACGAAGAAAATACCGTAGATGACTACGCACAGGATCGCGAGAACGATCTCGAGTTTGACACGACCGAGGAGGATTTGTTTCAAGGTGGTCCCTACGCACCGACCATCCTAATTGAGGAAGTCAAAGGGGGTGAAGGGCCGAGAGGCAATGAAGTGCGCCGACGACCCGGTGAGCCCGTAGAAGTGTACGAGGATAAAGATCACTCTAACACGGAAGAGGGGGGAGAACCATCGCGGCGAGGACAACCAATAAATTCTGTGAGCCATGTCGAGCAGTGTGCGGCGGCAGGAAATGGGCAACGGCAGGAAGACGTTGCAGAAAATACGAGCAGGATCGGGCGCTCAACAATCCCGCTTCGACTGATAGAGGCCAACACGAGGAGGCACTATTGTTTCCACTTTCTCCACTTCAAGTGGTGGGTGATAATCTTCATGGCAACGATGGCAGAGAAGGGTGCCCCTGTGGTCGATAGGCTGGCTCCCTCTCTGCACGACGAGGTTGGGTTTCATATGAACAATAACTTGGGAAACGATGGGTGGGCGAGCAGCTCTGACGAGTGGCAGATTCATCTGCATGGGCCGCGAGTCATGAATTGGAGGATCAACCGATACATCGAGTTCCTCTTCCGCAAAACAGACGAGCAGGCAAAGATATTGCGTGATAAAATACGGCCAGGCGTTCAGATTTACGCGGGGAAGGAGGCAAAGAGGAGCACGACTTCCATGATCAAGACAAAGATGAACGCGAGGCGAGGCGAGGTGGGATGCCTCGCTAGATGCGAGGCGAGGCTCTACGGCTTCTCCATCACAATGACCAAGGACTGGATCAAGGAGGCTCGGGATTTTCTCAAAGTGAAGTTGAAGGAGCTGAATGACGAGCAAGTCGCGTGAGTTTTTTCGAGGTGTGCTTTCTGCTCCTGCTTGTGTACATGTTTCTCTACATTGCTATATAATTACTCTTGTCTTTTATGCAGAGATGGCCGTGATCAAACCCACGGATCAATCTCCGACTGGTAGCGGCAAGCTAGTATAGGACGCTACATCACACTGTTCTACAAGTAGAACTCCAACAAATCTGGTGGCGGTCGCCTCCGGCACATCTCTCACTTCCTCTCTGGAAGGCTCTGCAAGTGCCGGTTATGATTCAGCTCGGACACCAATTTCTAGGAAGGGGGTGCAGCATTCGAAAGATTCGCCTTGCAAACCTCTTTGTCCGCATGACACGGAGCACCTCACACCTCGACGACTATCTGGACGTCTTGGTACTCGTCGTCGTTTCCAGGAAATCGAAGACCAACATCGGCAACAAGCTGAGTCAACAGTTTCTTGCAAGGCATAGGGACTGGCGGCTCTGCGGAATGGGCCATGTTTTCCTGTGGCTTCATTTCATCTACGACCTCGTCCCTCTGCGCTACGGCCCCGGTATCGTCGAGCCTCTTGACTTTTCTGAACCGCTCAAGTGGAGTAAAGCGCACCTCTTCATTTCCTTGAAGACAAGGGACAAGCGAAAGCAGAAGCAAGATGAGATGCACTAAAAAACGCACTACACCTGGATTCACTCGGCCATGCAAAAGGCGAAATGGATTCTGAGCAAGGTGACACAAGCGTTCCGCAGATCTGGAGCCCAACAACTCCATGACGACGGTTGCTCCGACAACGACATTGGCAGTCTGGGCGGATGGCAGCAGGGGGAGATGCGGAGGTCTTATGTGATGGGCATTCCATTCAAGCCGGTTTTTCTGCAGGCAGGATTCAGCTGGGATCGTGGAGACTACTACATCGGCAGAGCCCGCGCTAAGCTTCCGCGTCATGAGGATAAAGATAAGGATGAGTGGTGGCAGCTGCTGGGGCTCATGAGGAAACACATCTTCCCCAGGGTCGAGGAGGATTTGAAGAAGGTACGTACCAGTATAGAGTATGCGCGTTCGTATATGAACATTTCTACACAATTATGAATCGTCACAATTCCCCTGCATACTCGTCTCCTCATGTCCATGCATGGAACGCCGCGCAGACCGACGCGCTGAAGAGGCACTATGCGGGGGTGAGGTTCCTCGAGACCCTCGGGGCCATCGGACGCCTCGTTGTTGCACAGGATCTGGCTATGATGTGGGTGTTCTGCCATCAGCACGGCGTGATAACCCCGCGGTGCAATTGCGAGCGGTATCCATATGTGCAGATGAGCCCCTTGTGCAACCACCCATTGTTCCAAAAGTGGGCGTACTTGTTCGCTAGCATGCACTTCGAGGGCGAGAATCTTCGGAAGACCAGCCAAACCACCGCCAATGCAGTAAGTATATGCTTTTCGTGGTAGAGAGGGTTATCCGTCTCAGCAGAGTTCTGACGTGTTTGTTTCTACAGGATGCTATCTTTCGCACGACCGCCGAGGAAAAGATGCAGAGGATGTACCTCACCACCAATCTGCTCAGGGAGGATCTTGGAAAGTCGAAAGGACATGAAATGCAGATGGCGATGGAGAACGCGAAACTCAAGGAGGAAAACGCTCGGATCAAGGCAGATTTCGAAGCTTTCAAGAGCTCGGTTGCGGCCAACAAGGACGAAGGATCGTCGTAGACAGATGACCAAGGCACCTCGGCATGTGCCCACAGCCTAGGGAGCAGGGTGCGGGTGGGGTGGCGGCTGGTGGGCATGCAGCAGCGGGCAGGAGGGGGCGCTGTGCTGACGTACGACACGCCACGTGGCACCACACGAGTGGCTGCTCGCTCCGTGCTGCTCACCGTGCCTGCTTATGTGGCAGCTGACGTCATCAGGTCTTTTTCTGTGAGGGCCATTCCCTTCCCGCTTCCCGCCAGCAGTTTGTATATGAGCTGTCTCTGGGAGGAGGCAGGCATACAGTGCAAGAAGCAGCTCAGAGATTGCTTTCTTCCTCCCTCGCTCTCTTTCCTCTCAATCTAAACCAAACCTCCCACTGCTCCAACCCCACCCCTTTACTCTCACCCGCTCATGCCCTCCTCTAATTTCACACTCCGCCAATTCCAATTGTCACGACATGGCATCTGTGGCTCTCTACTACTTACCCAGCTGCTGCATCACCACGCCCTTCCCCTACTCTCTGTCCCTCATTCCCTTCCCGGCTTCCTCCCCCCAACCCACAGCAGCAGCAGCGCTATCATGTCAGCCATACCCTGCCCGCCCATGGCATCTGTGGCTCTCTCGCATCCAGCTGCTGCCATTAGGGAGGGGGCAGGGCGTGGCAGGCAGAGGGCAGTATAAGCGGACTTACAAGGCACCTGTGTCCCTCACTTTCCTGTTCCCTCGCCCCCACTCCAGCCCACAGCAGCAGCAGCCCTGGCAGCCATACCCTACCCGCCCATGGCATCTGTGGCTCTCTCCTACCCTGCTGCTGCCATCAGGGAGGGGGCAGGACAAGCAGGGGGGCTGCGCGGGTATGGGCAGCTGCACCCGCGCTCCCAGGGGCTGGCTACATTAGGTGAGACGGGTGGAAGTGGGAGGGAGAGGGATGGGTGGGGCGGGGAGGGCAAGGGGGCTGAAGGGGTATGGGCGGCTGCACCCGCGCTCCCAGGGGCTGGCGAAGCTAGGTGGGATTTGGGGAGGTGGGAGGGGGAGTTGGGAAAGGTTGGGGGATTTATGGAGAATGCAAGAGCACGAGGTGGGAGAGAGTGGGAGCGGGTGGGTGGGTGTGGTCTGGGAGGGCAGGGGGGCTGACCGGATATGGGCAGCTGCATCTGCGCTCGCAGGTACTGACGAATCTAGGTGCGATGGGGGGAGGTGGGGGGAGGTGTGGGGAGGTGCGAGAGTACAAAGCTGGGGAGTGCTTTTCAACAAATACATTTTCACACTGCCAGGCGTCAAGGCGAGGTTGCGAACGCAGAGACGCGAAATCAGGAGAAATTTGGGCCGTTGGGCTTGAAATTAAAATGTATCTCGAATCGACTTTTGAGGCGCCTCAAAAGCGGAATTGAAATGTGTGTCGAATCGGGTGCGGCGCGATGGTGAAGGGCAGACGATGTTTGTATGTGGCAGTGTGGTGTGCTGTGTGGGCTGGGTAAGTTTGGGGCAGCGTTTTTTTGCTATGCAAAATATGCCCTAACTCTGACGCTACTAAAAAGTAAGAAGAAGAGAAGGAGAAGAAAAAAAAAAAGACAAAACAAAGCAAAACATTGTGCCAGCCGGAATCGAACCCGGGTCTGCACCGAGCTGCATGGCAGGGTGCTATTCTACCACTAGACCACTGGCACGTTTCACATATGAACATCTCAGAGAGTTGAATTTAGTGTAGTAGTGGTAAGAGTGGAGGAGGGCGGGCAGGGGGGCTGTGCGGCGGTATGGGCAGCTGCACCCACGATCGCAGGGAATGGAAACAGTGGGTGAGATGAGAGGAAGTGGGAGATAACAAAAGAGTGTGGGCGAAAGTGGGCGAGTGAATGGGCAGTTGCACCCATGCTCACAGGGGCTGGCCACACTGGGTTAGATGGAGAGAGGTGGGAGAGGGTATAGAGTGTGGGAGAGATTGAGAGAGAGTGAGAGAGTTGGAGAACGGGCGAATATGGATGGAGATGCAAGGAGGGTAGGAAGGCTGCAGGGGTATGGGCAGCTGCACCCGCGATCGCAGGGACTGGCGACACTGGGTGAGATGGAGAAAAAATTGTCGGGGCGAGTAAATGAGCGTGGGCAGGGAGGGCCTCGCAGTCTTGGCTGCACCCTCGATTGCAGGGAATGGCTGCACTGGTGCCATGGGGGGGGGGGGGGAGGAGGGGGGGGGTGGAAGATAGAGGTGGGGTTTGGGTCTTGAGGGAGTGGTGGGTGAGAATGGAGCGAGCGGGTGAGTGGGGACAGGGAGGCTGGGGAGTTGAGGGGTTTGGACAGCTGCACGCTCGCTCCCAAGAACTGGTTACAGCTGCGATTGGCGATGAGAGGGAGAATGGTTTTGAGAGATGTCTCAACACACTTCTTTCATCACGTGGCTATTCTTACAGCTGAGATGGGGGATGAGAGGGAGAAAGCGGGAGATTTGGGGAACGCGGGGGGAAGTGTGTGAGAGGTGCTCTCCTTTGTAGAAAGTAGATTTTTGTAGAAAGTAGATTTTTGAGACGTCTCAAAAATCTACTTTCTACACGTGGGAAGTGTGTGAGAGGTGCTCTTCTCTCACACACTCCTTTTCCGACCCACACACACCGACTCCCCGTTGCACCTACCTTGCAGCCTCTTCTCGTATGGACGCACTTGCTTAGTGAGGCGCCTCAGAGATTTTCGCAGCACCTCACAGCCGTTGCACCACCTGCGCCCCCCCATCGCTGCCCTTCGTCTCCCCCCCCTTCCACCAGGCTGCATCTACAGCTCCGCCCTCTTCCCCAACAGAGCTCCCGATGGTTAGGTGCTGCTCATCTGCTACGTGAGGTTCTGCTCCCCCCCTTCTCTCCCCCACCTTCCCCCCCACCTTACCCCCCTCCCCCCCACCTTACCCCCTTCCCCAGGCTGCATCTACAGCTCGGCTCTTTTCCCCAACAGAGCTCCCGACGGCCACGTGCTGCTCATCTGCTACGTGGGCGGCGCAGGGAACGATTCTGTAGCTCAGATGGTGAGTGCCGTTGTGGCGTGTGTAGCAGGGGCTACTTGTGCGAGCAATTGGTCTTGCTGCGTGCTGAGTGCGCCTCTTACTGTAAGCTGTTTCCTGGTCAAGGACTGCCCGCCTCCCTACCTGTCACCTCCACGTGCACAGCTCCCACCCGAGCTGGGTGCCACACCAGCTTTTTTCCTAGACCCAGCCAGATGCCAGGCTTCTTTTCATCCTCCCAACACTCTCACCGCTCTCTTCTCCTCAGCATTCTCTGTCACCCCGCCCTCTCTATGCCCTGCCTCTCTCCATTGCAGTCCCGCACAGACCTCATAGCAGCAGTGGACTATGACATGCGCACCACGCTCCTCCATTCCTCCGCCCCTCCACCTCTGGCGCTCGGAGTGCGTGTGTGGCCGCGTGCCGTTCCCCAGCTGAATATCGGCCATCTTGCAAGAATAGAGGCGGCGAAGAGAGGGATCGAAGAGGCGGGGATGGAGGGGGTGTTTCTTGGGGGAAATTATTTGACGGGTGTTGCTCTGAGTTGGTGTGTTGAGGGAGGGTATGAGAACGCTGTTGAGATTGGTCGGTATTTGAGCAGCGTTGAGAAGATTGAGTGAAAATCGTGGGATCATATGTATGGGTTGGTTATTCCAAGCTTCATCATCGGTTAGCAATGTCTTCTACTTCTACCATGTAAGTTGAGTGCCTTATTCACTAATTTGACTGATTTATGCTTCGAAGCATTATGAATATGCATCTAAGCATTAGGAATATGCAAGCATTAGGAATATGCATCTAAGCATTAGGAATATGCATCTAAGCATTAGGAATATGCATCTAAGCATTAGGAATATGCATCTAAACACAATTTACAAGCGTATAACAGTTTTGCAGAGCCTGCCACTAACTGGGTTGAGTCACATCCTCTTTCCACGCAACGCCCTATCAGCTCGCGATGTTGGAGCTCCACGTGGCGCTCTCTCGTTTCAGGCTTCGCCACGCACCGTCAGCCTCACGATTTCACCTCGCCATCCTTTTCCACCAACAATGCAGCATCAAACGCATTTGAGGGTTGCTCGAACCCTACCCAAACTTCAAAAAGTATAGACGAGCCTCTCTATTACGTCCAACATCGCACTTCACCGCGGTAGACTCTAATGACATGCCTCAACAGCATTTCCTCAGGATTCTCAGCAACTCGGGCAAGCTGGGATTCTCGAGATTTTCCCAACCTACTAGTTCCAGTTCCCCCAGCAGCAGCCATTTCCCCCATACTCATGCATTTCCCATTCCCGGCTGCACTGGTCCGACGAGCTTCACTCACACTCGTCTCGTCTCGTCTCACCTCGACCCCCGTAGCAGCACGTGCGTAGAGACCAGACCCTCGCGCTTGACGATTATAGTTTCGCTTTGCGCGATTCTCAAATCTGCTTTTACGCCGAAAAGCGGTAACCATGGCGACAGTATCGCAGGCGGCGGCGAGAGCGCCTTACTCCGTCGCGCGATGTCGCTCGGCGGAAGGGCCGCGCAGCGATTTGCGCAGAGCACCCATGCCTTTCCAAAGGCCTTCTTTTCGGGGCTCAGCCTGAGCCAAGTGAGCCTTTCGGGTGAATCCAAATCGTCGCACGTCGCTCAGAGGCACGTCGCCAGCCGTCGTGGCGCTCGCTGCGATGCTGCGACGGCGGGGAGCGACGGGAAGCCGCGCGTGCGATTCGCGCCGTCGCCGACGGGGAACCTGCATGTGGGCGGGGCTCGCACGGCGCTCTTCAACTGGCTCTTCGCGAGGTGCGCGTGCGACTGTATGCGACAAAGCAGATTAGTGATTTTTGCCTAACAAAAAAACGGCAACAAAAAGAAAGCACGCATAAATCACCCAATTTTCCCTCGTGGGAATGTGGCGACGCGATCATCGTGATTTAGCCTGTGATGAGCGGTTTCGCTGTTTCAGACGCCTCGCGTCAGCTATAGTGGACGTTTGCAGAACGCAGGGTGGTCGAATCCGGAGGCGATTCAGACTGCTGAAACGCAAGGCGCCTATAACGCACACGCAGTGCATGCAGGTAGTGTCGATAGCTGGTGAGCACGGATGGGATTATTTTCTAGTTTTGACGAGTTTCATACCGAACAGTGAGTAAGTATTGCTTACCTGAAAGTGCCAGCGGAAGATGGGGTGCGCGTGATTGTAAGCGTCCGTCTGCGCGTTCCTGAGTTGAGGAACTGCGATTGCGAGGTTCGACGGACGGCCGTCACTGGAGACTACATTGAGGGTTGACGGCCAGCCGTCAGAGCAGACTGCGGTTGCGAGGGTTGATGGCGAGCCGTCAGCAGGTGCTCCTGCGGCCGATCGAGGCTGTGGCTTCTTCGTTTGCCCCCATACGGCATTCCCCTTCCCTGCAACCCATTCTCCTTTCTTCTAAACCCAATCCCAATCCCCTCCCCCAAAATCCCCGATTCCGCGCCCCCGCGTTCCCCCAATCCCCCTCGTCTGTCCTCCCGCTTCTCCTCACCCAGGGCGACGGGCGGCAAGTTCGTGCTGCGCGTGGAGGACACCGATCTGAACCGCTCCACACCGGAGTCGGAGGCCGCCATGGTGCGCGACCTGCGCTGGCTGGGGCTCGACTGGGACGAGGGTGAGCTTGGTGTGGGTGGGGGGGAGAGGGTGGGGGGGAGAGGGTGGGGGGAAGAGGGTGGGGGGGAGAGGGGACAAGGGTGAGCAGAAAGGGAGGTGAGAGGAGAGGAGGACTGGGACGAGGGTGAGCAGGGAAGACGGGGGGAGGAGGAGAAGATGGGACGCGGGTGCACAGGAGGGGAAGCCTATGAGTCTAAGGTGAGCGAAGTGGGGGGAAGGGACAGGGACGAGAGTAGGAAACGCCAGGGGTGAGGGAAGAGGGGGACTGGACAGAGGGGTGAGAAACTGGGAGTCTGGGAGCAAGCGGGGGAAACAACTGGGGGGTTAGTCTGGGAGGAGAAAGAGGCGCGAGAGGCGTGAGGGGGCGTGTATGATGCGAGACCTGGCTGGGATGGCGTGGAGGCATGAAGCTTGAGGGATGGGGAAGAGGGGGAGTTGGTGTTGTTGTGAGGATCCAAAGGACTTGAGCCGAAATTGTTCATTTCCTCTTCTTCTCTTCCAAACCAGCTTCTCCTGCCACCAGGCCGGACGTGGGCGGCCCCCTCTGGGCTCATACTTACATTCAGAGCGCAACGAGATTTACCACGGGCCCTCTGCTTACCGCCTTCCCCTTTTCCCCTGCCCCCTGCCCCCTGCCCCCTGTCCACTTCCCCCTTGTACTCTGCGCCCTGTCCACTTGTCACCGTGACAGGCCCGGACGTGGGTGGTCCCCTGGGTCCGTACCGCCAGTCGGAGCGCAATGAGATCTATCGCGAGCTCACAGAGAAGCTGCTCGCCTCGGGCATGGTTTACCGCTGCTTCTGCTCTGATGAGGTGGGGAGCGGTGCTGAGAGGTGATGGGGAGTTCCGAATTCTTTTGCGGTGAGGTGAGGTGGTGGGGGTTTTGATGAGGTGAGCTGGGAATCAGTAAGAGGGTTGCAATGAGATTTATCGCGAGTGGACAGAGACGCTGCTGGCCTCGGGCATGGTGCACCGCTGCTTCTGCTCTGCTGAGGTGAGGACGGGTGGTGAAAGGTGATGGGGCTCTCTTGTGCGGTGAGGTGAGTTGATGGGGGTTTTCATGGGGAGGGCTGGGAAGGTATAGGAGGTTTGCAGCAGGATCTACCGCGAGCTGACAGAGAAGCCGCAGGGGTTGGGCATGGTGTATGTGTATCGCTCTTCTCGGATGAGGTGGGGAGCGGTGCTGAGAGGTGATGGGGTGTATTGAAGTGAGGAGGGCATGGTGTACCGTTGCTTCTGCTCCGATGAGGTGGGGAACGGTGGTGGGAGGAGGTCGTGGGGGATTTGATGAGGTGGAAAACGGTGGTGGGAGGAGGTCGTGGGGGATTTGATGAGGTGGGGAATGGTGGTGGGAGGAGGTCGTGGGGGATTTGATGAGGTGGGGAACGGTGGTGGGAAGAGGTCGTGGGGGATTTGATGAGGTGGGGAACGGTGGTGGGAGGAGGTCGTGGGGGATTTGATGAGGTGGGGAACGGTGGTGGGAGGAGGTCGTGGGGGATTTGATGAGGTGGGGAACGGTGGTGGGAAGAGGTCGTGGGGGATTTGATGAGGTGGGGAACGGTGGAGGGAGGAGGTCGTGGGGGATTTGATGAGGTGGGGAACGGTGGAGGGAGGAGGTCGTGGGGGATTTGATGAGGTGGGGAACAGTGGAGGGAGGAGGTCGTGGGGGATTTGATGAGGTGGGGAACGGTGGAGGGAGGAGGTCGTGGGGGATTTGATGAGGTGGAGAACGGTGGTGGGAGGAGGTCGTGGGGGATTTGATGAGGTGGAGAACGGTGGTGGGAGGAGGTCGTGGGGGATTTGATGAGGTGGAGAACGGTGGTGGGAGGAGGTCGTGGGGGATTTGATGAGGTGGGTGAGTTGCTATACAAAGTGCTGCTTCTGATGAGGCAAGGGAAGGGAGGAGGTGTGGCGCATGAGGTGAATGCAGGGAGGGGCGTGGTGTGCAAGCTGAACAGTCATGAGGTGCCGAGGCCTTGATGTGGAAACAAAGGGAGACGCGAAGGAAGAAGCGTAAGGGAATCGTTAATGACTTGTGATGCTGTTCATCTAGGCTTACTCCTCTTTGCCCCCGATCCCCCCCTCCCCATCCCCGTCCCTCTTCGCTCCCAATCCCCCCATCCCTCTTCGCTCCCAATCCCCCCATCCCTCTTCACTCCCAATCCCCCCATCCCTCTTCACTCCCAATCCCCCCATCCCTCTTCGCTCCCAATCCCCCCATCCCTCTTCACTCCCAATCCCCCCATCCCTCTTCGCTCCCAATCCCCCCATCCCTCTTCGCTCCCAATCCCCCCATCCCTCTTCGCTCCCAATCCCCCCATCCCTCTTCGCTCCCAATCCCCCCATCCCTCTTCACTCCCAATCCCCCCATCCCTCTTCACTCCCAATCCCCCCATCCCTCTTCGCTCCCAATCCCCCCATCCCTCTTCACTCCCAATCCCCCCATCCCTCTTCGCTCCCAATCCCCCCATCCCTCTTCGCTCCCAATCCCCCCATCCCTCTTCGCTCCGCCTCCCGCGTTCCCACTGTGCAGGAGCTAGCAGCAATGAAGGCGGAGCAGGAGGCGAAGAAGCTTCCTCCCAAGTACGCGGGCAAGTGGGCGCGTGCCAGCGAGGACGAGGTGGCTGCTGAGCTGGCAAAGGGCACGCCGCACTCGTTCCGGTTCCGAGTGCCGCCCAACAAGCTCATCAAGATCAACGACCTCGTGCGAGGCGAGGTGAGAATCGCACGTGGTGTGGTGTGCATACATACATACATCGATGAGATGGTGAGTCGTGAGCTAGTCACGGGCTCACCTCACTCGTTCCGGTTCCGAGTGCCACCCAACAAGCTCATTAAGATCAACAACCTCGTGCGAGGCGAGGTGAGGCAAGCGCATGTGGTGTGAACCATGCATCTGGTATACATCATGTGGTGTGAACCATGCATCTGGTATACATCATGTGGTGTGAACCATGCATCTGGTATACATCATGTGGTGTGAACCATGCATCTGGTATACATCATGTGGTGACCTCTGTTGACCACTGTTGACTTGTTTTGACTCCCAGCTGCCAGGTGGAATGGAGTAGACGCGTGGTGGACTTTGTGGTGCTGAGGAGCAACGGTGTGCTGACTTGGATTGACTTTTGTTGATCTCCCGTGACTGGTGTTTATTGACCTGCATTGACTGTTGTTGACCTTTGTTGACTTGACTTGATTCTGCCTGGTTGCGTGGAGCACAGACACGCTGGGGTGCTAAGGGGTCAACGCTCTGTTGACGTGCGTTGGCCACTGTTGACCCTGTTGACTTGTGTTGTGACCCTCCTTACTGCCAGGTGGCGTGGAACACGGATCCTCTAGGCTAGGTGACTTTATGGTGCTGAGGAGCAACGGGCAGCAGGTGTACAACATGTTGACTGGCGCTGACTTGGGTTGACTTGTGTTGACCCTTTTTGCCAGGTGGCATGGAACAGAGATACCTTGGCTTTTGGCTATTTCGTGGTCCTGAGGAGCAACGGGCAGCCAGTGTACAACTTGTAGCCTCTGTTGACTGGCGTTGACTTGTGTTGCCTTCCGTTGACTTGTTCTTGATGCCAGGTGGTGTGGAACACGGACACGTTGGGCGACTTTGTGGTGCTGAGGAGCAACGGGCAGCCGGTGTACAACTTCTGTGTCACTGTGGATGACGCCACCATGAAGATCTCCCACGTCATCAGGTGAGTCAAGTCAATGTGCTGCCACGTCAGCGTGCTGCCACATCAGGGTGCTGCCAGGTCACCATGCCTCCCCTCTTCCCCCCTCCCATCCCCCACCCACCCACGCACACATGGCAACCACACACACCACAGACAAACCCACGCGCACGAACACACACACACACACACACACACACACACACACACCCGTGCCCGCGCATGCACATTCAGCTTCCTCGCTCCTCCCTTGCTCGCTTCCCTTCCCTCCCACCAATCAGAGCGGAGGAGCATCTGCCCAACACTTTGCGTCAGGCGCTCATCTACGAGGTACGTGCCTGCTCTGTCAGCTTGCCCTGCTTGCCCTGCTTGCCCTACTTGCCGTGCTCGTACCATGGGATAGGACCCTCAGAGCCCATGGGCCATGCCCCTGCATGCATGCTTGCCCACTCACCCCATGCCCTTGAACCCGCCTTTCATGCTCTACCAAGCACAAGTGGCCTTCAATCCCCATTTTTTCCCAACGTGTCAACTCAATCTCCCGTCCACAACAACCACCAGGCCCTGGGTCTGCCTATGCCCACGTTCGGCCACATGTCGCTCATTCTCGCCCCCTCCCTTCACCGCACCTCACCGCACCACACCGCACCTCGCCCCTCCCCTTCAGCCCACTCACCCCCCTCCCTCGTCCCCTCCCTTCGCCCTTCATCCCGCCTGTCTGACAGGCCCTGGGTCTGCCCATGCCCACATTCGGCCACGTGTCGCTCATCCTCGCCCCTGACCGCTCCAAGCTCTCCAAGCGCCATGGCGCCACCTCTGTTGGACAGGTAGGATGGGGGGGGGGGAGGGGGGGGAAGAGGAGAAGAGGGGGAAAGATAAATGAGTGATAAGGGGGGGAGGAAGGCGGACTTGTGTGCCTTGAATTACGTGGTTCGTTCGTGTCCTGCTCCCTGGCCGCCTCAAGCTCTCCAAGTCACAGCCAGCCACCTCTGAGCGCCCCTGTCTTGAACCTTGGTCCACGTGGACGGTGGATCGTATCCCAGCCCAAGGCCATGGTGAACCAGCTGGCACTGCTCAACCCGAGTGTACGCATCTGTGCTCTCACTTTTGCTTTTCGGTCACCCCTCTCTACTCCCTTAACCTTAGACCAGATCCCCTTCGTACAGTTGAAGGACCTGGGCTTTCTGCACGAGGCCATGGTGAACTATCTCGCGCTGCTGGGGTGGAGCGCAATGCGCATGTGCTTACACTCACGCCTGCCCCTTATCCATCCCTCTCCTCTGTAACCACCACCCCTCACCCTTTGTTGTCCAGTTCCAGGACCTGGGCTTCCTGCCCGAGGCCATGGTGCGCACCGCTACTCGTATTGTGCTTCTCTCGCTTTCTAACCATCATCCGTTTCCCCTCCCTTCTCTCCCGCTTTCACACCTCAATCCGCCCCTCTTCAGTTCCAGGATCTGGGCTTCCTGTCAGAGGCCATGGTGAACTATCCCGCGCTGCTAGAGTCTTTTGTTCGTCACTCACTTTATGCCCCTCCACTCTCGCCCCGCCGCCCCCCCCTGCGTGCAGTTCAAGGATCTGGGCTTCCTACCAGAGGCCATGGTGAACTACCTGGCGCTGCTGGGGTGGAACGACGGCACAGAGGACGAGATCTTCACACCCTCGCAGCTCGGTGCGTCGCTAGGTGGTGGCTTAGGTGTGTGCTCAATGGCATCAGGTGCGTGCTCAATGGCATCAGGTGCGTGCTCAATGGCATCAGCTGAAGTATTTTGAGTTGAGGCGCCTCAAAGGTAATCCGCCACACAGAATGCTCCCCTCTCAGTGCAGTCTAAAGTTCTCCTCGCAGGTCACCATAGAGCGTGCGTGGCCAACGGCCATCTACTGCCCCTGCATTGAGGGCCCCTCACCTGTCCTGTCCTCGCACTGTTCCTCCCACCCCCAACACCTCCTCTCTTGTCTCTCACCCCAGTGGAGTTGTAATTTTCCCGGGTCACCCAGCCAGAGCGCCGCCATCTTGGACAACGCCAAGCTGCGGTGGAACAACGCCTTCCCCCCTGTCGCTCCCTCTTTCTGCCACCCCATTGCGCAACCCCCCTCACCCCCCCTCTGTCAGTTGAGAGTTCTCCCTGTCGCGGGTGACCAAGTCGGCCGCCAGATTTGACAACGCCAAGCTGCGGTGGATCATTAGTTTCCCCTTGTCCCTTTCACTCCCTTCCCCGCTACCCCATTGCACAACCCCCCTCTTGTCTCTTGCAGTCGAGAAGTTCTCCCTCTCCCGTGTCACTAGGAACGCGGCCATCTTCGACAACCCAAGCTGCAGTGGATCACCGGCCATTTCCTACCCCTGCATTCCCCCATCCCTTTCTCCTCCCACTGCGTACCTTCCCACTCTTTCACCCAACTGCAGTTGAGAAGTTCTCCCTCTCACGCGTCACCAAATCGGCCGCCATATTCGATAACGCCAAGCTGAGGTGGATCAATGGTCAGCACTTCCGCCAGCTGTCCGAGGAAGCTTCCACGCAGCTGCTCGCCGAGCAGTGGCACGCCAGCGGGCTGCTGGCGTCAGCAGATGCTAGCAGCCGCACCACACAGGTGAGGGGGATTGGGGGAGGTGGGGTGGGGAGGGGTTGTGGGGAAAGGAGGGGGAAAGTGGGGTTTAGGGCGAGCAGCCGCACCGCACAGGTGGGGGGAAAGGGGAGGTGGGGGAGGAGGGAAGTGGGAATTCACCCACCACTGTCAGAGCACAGCAGCACTGGTTAGCATCGGGTTGGAGCTGATTGCCTAACAGATTCTCTGATTGCCTAACAGATTCTCTGATTGCCTAACAGATTCTCTGATTGCCTAACAGATTCTCTGATTGCCTAACAGATTCTCTGGTTGCGCAACGGGTTGGAGCTGGTCACGGATGCCAATCGCCTTACTAATGCTCTCCCCATTCCCACTGCTCCCCTCCACATCACCACACCTTCTCCATTCCACTTCCCCACCAGGCAGCAGCAGCGCTGGTGCGCAATGGGCTGGAGCTCGTTACAGATGCGGATGCGACACTGGAGGCACTGCTGGCATACCCTCTCAAGGAGACACTTGCCAGGTGAGCAGCGAGCAGCAGTGACACGATTTTGCCATTGTGCATCCTGGTATGCCGTTGTGCATCCTGGTATGCCGGTGCCAGTATGGGATCCCATTGGGGCAGAAGGGGCAGAAGGTGCTGCTGCCCTACCCTCTCACGGAGGCTAGTCAGATGAGGAGTGAGCAGCAGACAGCTGTTTGTTCTCTTGTAGGAAGGCAGTGGGAGGGGTGCACTGGCAGGGGTGGCAAATCTGTTGAAGCCAGTTTTGGGAAATCTCATTGAGGCGCAGAACAAACGCACGGATGCCAATTATGTTGGAGTCACTTTTTTTATTTCTCACAAGTGCTGCTAATGACCTGCTTCTCCCTCCTTCCCGCTTTCTCTCTCGCCTTTCTTGCTCTCTCGCCGCACTCTCTTCATTTTGTCCCCCATGCCCATCCCTTACCCTCTTCCTCCAGTGAGGAAGCCAAGGCAGTGGTGGAGGACGGGCTTGTCGAAGTGAGGGCGGCACTGCTGGCGGAGTGGGAGAGCGGAGCACTGCTGGCAGCGGTGGATGGCGGTGCAGCCACGTGGAAGAAGTGGATCAAGGGGTTCGGCAAGGCCACTGGACGCAAGGTAAGGGCAGTGGTGGGGGGAGTAGGTGAGGAAGAGGGGGAAGGTGTGTAATGGGGGAGGGAAAAGGTGAGTCTGGGAGTGGGGCGCTGCTGGCAGCGGTGGATGGCGGTGCAGCCACGTGGAAGAAATGGATTAAGGGGTTCGGCAAGGCCACTGGACGCAAGGTGAGGAAGGGGGGTGCCGCAGAAGGTGAGGGGACAGGAAGGAGCGCAAAGTGAAAGGGGTGGTGGTGGAAGGGGAGTGTTGAGGTCAGATGTGAGGAGGGGGAGAGGGGCAGGGTGAAGAGGGTAGAGGCGGTATTGAGGAAAGGGAGTGCTGCGACGTGGAAGAAGTGGATCAAGGGGTTCGGGAAGGCCACTGGGCGCAAGGTGAGAAGGGGGAGGGGAGGGAGAGAGGTGAGATTTGTGTCGGCTTAGAAGGCACGTGCGTGGGGGGGAGGGGCGGAGAGGAGTGTGAGGTGGGGGAGGAGGGGAGAAGGGGAGTGGTGTGGTTGGATTTGTGAGCAAGCATCTCTTTATGTTTCTACGCATGCTCCTCACAAGCTGCATGCACGGGCCCGATGTGGGGGAGACGCTCGCCATGCCCCTCACACTCTGCTTATCCGTCCCTCGTTTCTACCTCCTCCCTTTCCCCCTTCCCCATCCCCACCCCCTGGCAGGGAAAGCGTCTCTTCATGCCCATCCGCATTCTCCTCACGGGGTGCATGCACGGGCCGGACGTGGGGGAGACGCTCGCCATGCTGCAGCACGCAGCAGCGGACAAGGCCCTGGGGCCCAAGGCACACTGCGTGGGGCTGGAGGAGAGGATCAGCCTCCTCAGAGATGCGGACCTTACTGCTGCTCCTGCTGGTGCTGAGGCTGTGGCTGCGAGCGTGGCGCAATGATGAGGAGGAAGTCGCGCAGCAGGGTGCAGCAGGGTGCAGCAGGGTGTAGCAGGGTGTAGCAGGACATGGTGTGGGGCTAGAGGAGAGGATAAGCATTCCAAGGGATGCAGACCTGACTGGTGGTGAGGAGGCAGTGGCTGCGAGCGGGGTGCAATGATGAGTGCGGGGTGCAATGATGAGTGCGGGGTGCCCAGCATGCTGCAGCAGGGTGCAGGCAGTGGGGTGTATGGGTTGTGGTAGACCGTAAACCATGGCTTGGGCGCCAAGACCCACAGTAAAGGATGTAGGAGCTATCAGAAACAAAGTTGGCTGCTCGAGGGGGTGCAGTCACGCATACTTGGTCGCTGCAGCTGGTGGTGCTGTGGGTGACGGTGTTGATGTCCCTATTGATGTTGTTTGCTGAAGGGATTATTGCCAGCATTTTTAGGTTTGTGGATGCTCAGGCTATGTTTTTAGGCACCAGCCTTTCAGTAATCTTCTGCATAAAAGCAACCTCTTTCTTTCACTTTTGGAGTTGATTAATCTGCTACTTCCTGTGTTGACCTGTCAAATAGCATTCTTGACATTGTGATCTGTGCACTTGCTCCTCGCTCGTAGTAGTGACCCTCACATTGAATGCACGGCTCACAGGCTTGGCTTAGGCAAAGAGTGCCACCATAGGAGATTTGCCACCAATGTGGTGGGGGATTGTATGGTATAGACCCGCTACCATACCCTTCTTTGTTGATGTGTGAACGATTGTGGAATTCAAATATTAAAAAGGGAACACATTACAATCTTCCAAATCCCTTGCCCACACATAAAAGCAACATGCAACAGCAATGCAAACAAAGCAGCAAGAAAGAAAGAGAATAAAAAGCATTTAGCTTCTCCTCTACCTTCCCGTTCCACTCACTTCCACCACTTCCGCCACTCCCGTCACCCGCTTCCATGCCCGCGTCTTCGACTTTGCTCCTCCATTGTCTCCAACCGGAGCCGCCTCGCCTCGCCGGAGCGGCTCCACGTAGAGGGATACTAACTGCCTCTTAGTAACCGCCCCCGCTGTCTCCCCCTGCGTTATACCCGCTGCCTTCCTCTGCATTATACCCGCTGCCCCCGTCCGCGTTATACCCGCTTCCACGCTCCTCGTTATCCCCGCTGCCCCCCCCGGCGTTATACCCGCTGCCGCTCTCCGCGTTATACCCGCTTCCTCCCTCCGTGTTATCCTCACTGCTCCGCTCCGCGTTATACCCGCTGCCCCTCTCCGCATTATACCCGCTGCCGCTCTCCGCGTTATACCCGCTTCCTCCCTCCGTGTTATCCTCACTGCTCCGCTCCGCGTTATACCCGCTGCCCCTCTCCGCATTATACCCGCTACCGCTCTCCGCGTTATACCCGCTTCCCCCCTCCGTGTTATCCTCACTGCTCCGCTCAGCGTTATACCCGCTGCCCCTCTCCGCGTTATATCCGCTGCCGCTCTCCGCGTTATATCCGCTGCCGCTCTCCGCGTTATACCCGCTCCCGCCCTCTGCATTGCTCTCCTCATTGTTATCAGCCGAGAAACCCCCACTCTCCTGTGCGGCATACCCCTCAGACTCCTGCCCCCCATAGCCCTCAGTTTTCTTCACCACGCTTTCCGTCACACCCCTCGGATTCCTGACCGGAAGACCCGTAAGTGTTCTCCTCATTCAGAGAGAGCTTCTCCGCGCCATACGACTCGCCTCCCTCAGCGTTCGCGTTCGACTGTTCCTCTGACGAGCCCCCGCCAAAGAAGTTCATCATGGCAACGAGGTTGGAGTGGTTAGTGCCGACTCGAATAACGCGCGCTTCTTCCTCTCCTCACGCTTCGACTCCGTCGAACGCCTGACTCGAGGCGACTGCAGAGGGCTAGTGGCAAGTGCAAGCTAGCCACGGAGCGAAGGAGGCAGGATTTGCAGAGTGAGGCTGGGGAGAAACGAAATTGCTGAGTGAATGACCGTCTCGCATGTCCCTGGTTATGTACAGAAATTCATTCACGCAAACATTTCTTGGTTTTCACACGTGTTTTGAAATGGGCTGGGTTGGAATCGGTGCGTCGCAGTCAATTGCGAGCCGTGACGGCGGGAATCGCCAACGCCGCGCTCGCGAACCGCGCACCCATGTGTTTGAATGCGTCGCCCCACGTGCGCCCGAATACATGGCTATGGTGATGGTCTTGCAAGTGGGGGGGGCTCACCTCCCCATCGCATGTGCTTCTCCCTGTGATTGCAAGAAAGTAACCGAGCCGCGCGCTAAGGATAAGGTTTGCGATATGTTGCAAGAGCAAGTGCTCCTCATTCCCCCAATGCCCGTTTATACGAATGAACAAAATTTCGATAAAAGGAAGAAAAGGATAAGCATGTTGTCTCTCCTCCCCCATCACTGCCCTCCTTTCCCCCCCTCACCCACATTCTTCACTCGCGAACTCCCACTCAGTTCTTTCAACAATTTACGGGGCTACCCTACATGGTTGCATGGTACGTCAAGTAATGGCCTCCGCCCAATCACCATTCCTAGTCGGTGCATCAATCTGCCTTGCCACGTCATTTTGAGCTCAAAAATCTCATGGACGAATCAGAATTCACTTTGCACGACCAATCGTGTTTCTTGGAAAAAGGGGATATTCGAACTGCCTGCGAACCGCAATGCCCAATCAATGCAGTCAAAGGTCGGTGTGAGACATCACAGGCAAGGCATGGCGTGGTGGTCCTACAGCCACGCCATGTCTTGTGGTGCTGTACAGCAGAATCCTTACTTGCATGACCAGTCACGTCGGTCAAGAACAAGACCAGATGCAACCAATCGAGTATTTGAGTCTAGACGTGATACACTGTAATAATACAGTGTACCGGTATATCATAAACGACTACTCATGAAAGAAATAGAAACTCATCAACTCGTCTTCTTTTAGTTAGAGGCGTCATTTTGCTGAGAAATGACCTCTTGCTTCAAAGCTCACGTTTGATGACGTGATACCAGTGAACTTATTCATACATTTCCAGTGCCTATCTTGACTTGATGCCTCGGTGTAATTTTTGTTGCGATATGGAGTTAATTGAAGTACATTCCTTAACGCAACAGGAGTTAACACTACTGAGGAGTCAGGCGAGTCAAAGCGACGGAATCGGTTGTCAGGCAATGACCGATGCAGGTAGAAACATTTGAACTGGAAATGGCGGGAACAGGTTTGAAACGAGTTTACGCGCCGCACGGTTGGGTTTTGCTATAATAGGGGAATGTATGAGTACATGGCTAGCTATGACTATTTGTATTCCTCTGCATTTCTATATAAACCAATGTATGCCTTGTCAAACTTATATATGCTATAGTCTGTTTAGGCTGTAGTGGGGTAGTTCTTAGAGGGTACAACACTTTTGTGTTTGCTACTTGTACCCACCTGCTTTCTAGTTCATCTCATTCCTCTCATCATTCTCACATGGTATAGAGCAGGTTCCCTAGTGGGACTGTTTTTTTTTTAGGGCCCACCACTACGCATTTTTTTTTCCTTACCTGGCCGAAGCGCGTTTCGCGTCTGTCCTAGCTGCGCCCCGTGCGCCTGCCCTTCGCGGCCCTTAGCGGCCCCTCTTACGGCCCTTCGCGGCCCCTCGCGGCCCTTCGCGGCCCCTTAGCGGCCCTTCGCGGCCCCCTTCGCGGCCCCTTTCGCGGCCCTTCGCGGCCCCTCGCGGCCCTTCGCGGCCCCTTACGCGGCCCTTCGAGGCCCCTTCGCGGCCCTTCGCGGCCCTTCGCGGACCCCCTCACGGCCCTTCGCAGCCCTCTCCGAGGTTCTTCGCGGCCCCTTAGCGGCCCTTCGCGGCCCCCCCCTTCGGCGGCTCTTCGCGGCCCCTTCCGGCCCCTGCTGACGCGCCCCTGCTGGAGCGCCCCTACCGGCCCCTACTGGCGCGCCCCTACCGGCCCCTGCTGACGCGCCTCTGCCGGCCCCTGCTGACGCGCCTCTGCCGGCCCCTGCTGACGCGCCCCTACTGGCGCGCCCCTCTGCTGATGAGCCCCTGCCGGCCCCTGCTCACGAGCCCCTGCCGGCCCCTGCTGGCGCGGCCCCTACTGGCGCGCCTCTGCCGGCCCCTGCTGACGCGCCCCTGCTGGCGCGCCCCTGCCGGCCCCTGCTGACGAGCCTCTGCCTGCCCCTGCTGACGAGCCCCTGCCGGCCCCTAATGGCGCGGCCCCTACAGTCCCGGCCCGCCCCTGCACCCGTCTCTGGCAAGCCGAGCCGCGCAGCCCAACCGAGCCGCGCCGCCCAGCCGAGCCGCGCCGCCCAGCCGAGCCGCGCCGCTCAGCCGAGCCGCGCCGCCCCCACCGAGCCGCACTGCCCTACCGAGCAGCATTGCCTTGCACTGCCCTGCTGCTACTGTTTCTACTGCTGCAACTCTTGCTACTGCTCCTACTGCTGCTATGGCTAGTCCTACCGTTCTCACCTTTGATGTTGAGGGACGTGCAGTTGATTTTGACGTGTGGGTTGACGACCTACAGCTCTTTCTTCAGTGTGATTCTAGGGATGGGGTATCCCTTTTCGATCACACGTCCGGTGTCTCCACTACTCCTGCTGCCACTGCTGACAGTACTGTTCGCTCGCAGTGGACCACTCGTGACGCTGTTGCTCGTCTTGCTGTTCGTAGTCACCTGCCGCCTGCTGAGCGCACACACTTTGGCCAGTACAAGACTGCTCAGTCTTTGTACGACGCTGTAGTTGCACGCTACTCCTCCCCTGCCACTGCTGCCCTCAGCCGCCTCATGCTGCCGTACCTTTTCCCTGACCTTGCCGCCTTTGCCACAGTCGCTGACCTAGTTGCTCACCTTCGCACTAGTGACGCCCGCTACCGCGCTGCCCTTCCCACTGAGTTCTGTGCCAAGAACCCCCCCCCCATGTACATCACCCTTTACTACCTAGTCACCCGCCTCCCTGACTCCCTTGCTTCAGTCAGGGACCACTTTCTCTCCCTTTGCCCCACCGAGCTGACTGTCGACCTGCTAGAGGAGCTTCTTGCTGCAGCTGAGAAGAGTATCTTAGCTGTAGGTGCTTCTCGCGGAGACCGTCGCACCCCCTTCTTTGAGGGGTGTTCCCCTGTCCCCCTTCTCCCCTCTGTTGCTCCTCGTTGGCACTGAGGAGGTCGGAGCTGCGTCTGCCCCTAGTGGGAGACGCCGCAACAGCAAGGGCAAGGGGAGCAAGGGTGGTGGAGGGGGCGGCGGGGGAAGCAGTGGAGGAGGTGGAGGCGGTGGGGGAGGTGGCGGTGTAGGTGGGGGTGGTACCGGGAGTGGGGGCGTCAGTGGCGGCGGTGGAGGTCGTGGCGGCGGTGGCGGAGGTGGTGGAGGCAGCGGCAGCGGCATCGATGGTGGAGGTGGCGGCGGCGGTGGTGCTGGGCGAGGTGCAGCAGCGCAGCGTGGAGGCTTTGGTGGCAGCCAGCGCCAGCAGCAGCTGCGCACCCGTGAGACCCCGTCGGTTCAGCAGCTCCGTGAGTGGTACGCTGGGCGTGGGAGGTCTGGGAGTGCAAGTCCCTGCACTTACGTTCTTCGCGCCGGCACTCGTAGTGGGGAGGTGTGTGGGCTCCCACACACCACGCAGTGCTTCTTCGGTCGCTTGACTGGCGCTTGGCGTACCCAGTTTCCTGACGCCGTTGAGCTCCCTCGCTGGCATGATCTGCTTCTGCAGAATGTGCCTATCTTTGATCTAGATTTTGATGCTATCCTCGCTGCCACGTATGCTCTTGCTGATAGTGCTGAGGGTGACTGTTACCTGAGTGTCCCGCCCGACCCGGGCATTGCGGCTGCTGCTCTAGGTGCCAGTGCGGCTGCTGCTCTAGGTGCTAGTGCGTCTGCTGCTCCAGGTGCTGGTGCGTCTGCTACTCCAGGTGCTGGTGCGTCTACTCTCTCTGGTACTGCACCTACTGAGTCCTTGTACACTTTCACACTTGACTCTGGTGCTTCGCGCTCTTTCTTTAGAGACAGCACCACGCTCACGCCGCTCAGTCGGCCTGTTGCAGTCTCCCTTGCTGACCCCTCAGGGGGCCCAGTCCTTGCACACTCCTCCACGGTTCTACCGTGTCCTGCGGCCCCGTCGGGCTTGCTGTCGGGACTCCACCTCCCCTCGTTCTCTACGAACTTGGTGAGTGGAGCTGACCTCCAGGACGCGTGGGTTGACCAGTTCACCCCTGGAGGTCAGCGTGTGACCCACTGCACTTGCTCTCGGACGGGCCGCCACCTGGCCACGTTCACCCGTCGGCCAGGGTTGAGTCTGTACACACTGACTACTGCGCCTCCTCCGGTCCCTGAGTCTGGTCAGGTAGCTGCGTCTAGTCAGGTGTTTGCTGCCGCGTCCAGGTCTAGTTCTGCGTCTGCCCCCTGCTCGTGTCGTCCTCTTGCGCACGAGACTCTCCTTTGGCACCACCGCCTTGGTCACCCCTCCCTGCTTCGTCTTCGAGGTATGGCCTCCCGTGCTCTTGTCTCTGGACTCCCCAGGTCCCTCCCTCCCCTCCCTCCGGGGCCTGCCCCCACATGTGTTCCTTGTGTCGAGGGCCGGCAGCGCGCCGCTCCTCACTCCTCCTCGTTCCCTCCGACTGAGGCTCCTCTGCAGACTCTTCACATGGACGTGTGGGGCCCAGCCCGCGTCCGTGGACAAGGTCACGAGCGCTACTTCCTGCTGGTCGTTGACGACTACTCGCGTTACACCACAGTCTTCCCCTTGCGCAGCAAGGGTGAGGTCCCTGAGGTGTTGATCGACTGGATCCGCGGTGCTCGTCGCCAGCTCAGTGAGA